TTCGTTGAAGATCCTATGGGTGCTAACGCTGGCATGGAATCTGTCAAAGAATTAAGCCAACGCAAGCAAGAGAAATTAATTAGACTCTCACCGGCCTCCTCTTCTCCCTCCGAATCTGCATCTGCATCGTGGTGCACCCATTTATTTTCCCAAACAGGTGCCCTCGACAGTTGTAGCGGAAATTGTCCGCCGGCGAACTTTCGAATTCCAGCGACGGTATATTACTCACTTTCGACGCCTTCATCCCTCCATACAGATGCAAGTATTTTCTTCTGGATATCGCTCAAGCTACTATGCAGAGCTCTAAGTGTGTCCTCAATATTGCAATCAAGTGAAAGAATCCAGTATTAGCAGTGAACCCGTTGTAAATGCGCGGGGAATTCCTTCGTATCTACACAACACATATATACTGTTTTCTAAAATTCAGGCTCGCACTTAGTCTGTCATCCGGGAACAAGAAGGGGAACCTGGTAACTAAGTGTGCCACAGTCATGAATGGCATGATGTGCGTGCACATAGTGGGGTTATATTATACTCGCGCGGTCCGCATAGCATCTCGATATTCCAACACTCAATTCCAGCAACGCTTGAAATAGGTAGCTTGGGCCATCAACCCGAATCCGAGTCTTCTGGATACTGTATGAGTCAAACCGTTCTACCATGATCAGTTCCTTTGCAGCGCCTGTCATTTCGGTCAAATTTATGACCTCTGCTGTCAAAAAAACCCATTTGCGCCTCGGCCTCGGATCTACCACCTCCTCGTTTTTATGCTCAGGACTGTCTGGGCCAGCTCCTCCGGATAGCCTGGTGGTCTGTCACACATGTTCCTTCGTACACGCCGAGCACTGTATCACTCCTTCTGAATCCCAGCGGCTTCTCGTGTGCTGTAGCTTGAGTCTCTTCGGCGAATTAAAGGAAAGGACATTAACTTCAACCGCTGTAGCCGTTGCGTAGTTTTTTTCCTTGAAGAAGACCAGGACTCTTTATTCCCGCACTTCCCAAACAGCGCAACGCAAGGTGCAGTTTATTCATTCCTTGGCTTAAAACACTCGAAGATAGGGGTGTTTCCTTTCCAAGCAATGTAATTTGGGCATGAACGCCGACGACGGAAGTGCTCGTGGAGGTACAGAACGTTCCTAGGGCTCCGCCGGGACAGCAGGAACGAGATTATAGTATTAATATTAATATGCTTTAGCTTGAGAATTTGGCATGACGCTCCCTCGTATGCATCAGGACCACGCGCGAATCCACCCAGAAGCGAGAACGACTGCGCGAACGTAGGCTCCAACATGATGGACTCCGCTGCCGCGCAAGTAAATCCACACTCCACCCTCTCGTACCTCGACACACGAAATAAAATAACGCGCACAAGATGCATGCAGATCGAGTCGCACAACGCCACCGACGTTCAGACTGCGCACGGGAGCCTCACCCAGGCGCGGCCTCCATCCACTGCAGGAAGGAAGTGAAGCCGCTCGCGTGCCCCGCCTCCATTAACTCCCCTAGAACGCGCGCAGATCGCGGCCCACGCTACCCGCACCTCGACTTCCCGGTTACACGGACGAGGCGCATCCATCGTGGGTGTGAAGAAAGAAAAGTAGCTGAGAAAGACAAAAAGAAAGAAAAGCAGGCCGCCTAGTATTGGCCGCGACATTGAATGGGGCACACACGCAGATGTAGCGCGATACGGCGCGACATTCCCTTCCCCGACGTGTACGCACCACCACCCGGGTGCATTTGTATCCACCACCGCACACGTTGCCCGCGCATATGATCACAGGAACCACGGGAGCGGGGACCGGTCGTCAATGAGATCTGAGATGGCGCGATGAATGCGCACGGACGGCGTGCGGGGAGCGATGCGCGCGGATGCCGGTGACGCGAGTGAGGGTGGAGAGAGGAAACGAGCCTGGTGGGTCGGTAAAGAGAGGTGGATGGAGGAGATAATGGTACGCACTTTTGCACTCTTATATTGTTTATGATGTACACGCTCGCGGCGCCAACGGGCGTCGATGCATGATGCGCACGTTTGCAGGGTCACGATGCGCGCCGAGTTCGCACAATCGCGAGGGCCAAAGGGGAGCGGTGCGCGATGCGGCGGAGGCCGGGAGCGCGGGAGGGATGTGCGCGTGTCAGGGACCGATGCGGGATGTGCGGCGCTCATCCGTACCATCGGGAGCAGGATGAGGGTACGTGGACGAGTTTGGCTGAGGTCGAAGGAAGAGGTATTCGCGCTAGCGGGACACTCGGATTGGAAGACGAAGACGAAGCTGTAAAGGAATATATTAATAACGATATTTGAGAAGAGCGGCAAGCCGCAAGAAGAGAAGCAGATGCAGGAAGGCTGGCAAGTACGCAGCTCTACGCACAGATGCAGGCCGGCCGACAGGAAAACCGTAAAGAATACACACACCACATGCAAAACTAGCTCTCCATCTCGAGAACGATCGTCAGAAGTTTGCGGCTACAAAGCACCCGGAGGGAACGCGATGAGTGTGGCTGGGGTTGAAGGCAGAGATGTTCGCGCTCGTGCTTGTGGCTTGAAGACGACGCTGAAAACCAATCGGTCAATAACTAGGTGTGGGAGAGTAAGAGGAGCGGCAAGAAGAGAAGATATACCGCGAGCCCCGTGCCCCTGGGAGAGCAGAACGATAGGGTGAGGGGAGAGCGCGAGGATGTGCATGGCACAGAACGAATGACGTCGGCGGGGGCACGAAGGAAGGATGCTTTACCAGCACCGTGCCACAGTCGTAACCGAAGCGGGGGCTGATGTAGAGCGCTGCCGAAGCGAGAGGGGGAGAGCGCCGTACGATGCGGTGAGGGGGAGAGCGCCGTACGATGCGGTGAGGGAGACGAGGATACTGAGCAGTCAGGCCTAGTCAGGGCGCTACGCAGATGAACGCCGCGTGTCCGCGTGTAGGATGATTTCGAAGACACCCCACACTACCAAAAGAAGAGCCCATGGCGCGGCTTGAAATGCTTTAGTTTGGTCGGGAGGATCTTGGGGAGGATGAGCGGTAGGTAGGTAGGTAGGTAGGTAGAATTACACGGCCGGTGCCGCTCAGGAACGCCGGGGCCCAGGAAGTATCTGAGTGTACATGCACTAATGTACACTACGGTCCCTGGACTCCTCCATCACCCCGTAGACGAGCTCACGGTCACAATCTCACGACTTGCCGCGGTAGATCTAAAGAATCAACAGAGAAGCAAAGATGGAAACCGAGTACCTCAAGGGGCTCCCATTTCAAGAATGGTTCACTGTACCTCCAGGATGGTCCAGTTTTGCCTTCTGAACATAAATGTATATGACATCTGGGTGTCATTTGAGCCCGTTTTCGAGGTACAGACCAAAAGATTATTACTATATCTGGGCGTGGAAGTGTGTACGTGAGCGTACAGCCACACCCAATGCGGTCGCCATCAATCCATCAATCTCTGCCGACGCAGTGCGAAAAATGAAAGTGACTTGAACATGAGTCGAGATGGTCTGGAAACACCTCATTGTGATACAAGTACTAAATACTTTGTGTGTGAGCCCAAACCTCTGACCTGTTGGGTGTTCTGAGGCGAAACACTACATAGGGGCCTTCCTAAAAAGGCAATTTCCCACGAGGGGGGGGGGGGGGGGGTCAAGCCACTGAGCTGAAAAAAAAAAAATCGAGTCGGGGTATACATTTCGGGTATTGGGATCCCCTTGGAGTACCTCGAAACAAGCTCAAGACACAAACAATATATATCTTTGATGAACAACATGAACATCATTGCCCAAGTCTGGCAAGTTTGGAAAGTTAAAACCGAAATTTCGAAAAGGAAGGAAAGGCGCTGTCCGGCCTGGGATCGGCAATTCGATCGATGATGAGTTGATGCGGTGATGTGATATCATCGTTGGTTGAAAGCGTCCAATTCGACTGGATTCAAAGACGGGAGTAGTGATCAAATGAAGCAGCGGATTAAGAGGGGCGTGTACGCGTATAGCGGAAAACCAAGAGAAAAAGACAGCTGCGTCGCTACGTATACACGGATCCCGAATCCAACGGGTGAACCGCGCAGCGGTTTCGTTTGTGGCCGAGGAACGTGCATTGCACACCATGCCCTACTCTGCGCTCCTCCATAATCCCATTCTCCGAATATGCGCAAAATTGTTATTTTCCCAAACAGCCTGAGGATTCGCTCAAATTCCAGTTGAATTCGAGTGTGCCTAAGCGGGTAGCGTGCACAAAACAATGAGTCCGAATCTTGAGAGGCTCAAGGCTCCGAAAATCTCGCGGTCAACAGGCCTACATCTACCGCCAACAGGCATTCCAAAACAGATGAAGTAAACTTTAGACCACCAAAAAGTTCCTCGACGTAGACCATTTAAGGACGGGACCCGAGTCGTACGGGTGAACCAAGTGCATTCTTTATAACGGTGCAATATAACCTTGGTGCACTTCGTGCGCTATCCCGTCTCCTTGGTGCTCTTTGTACAGTGCATAGGTGCGTATTGAGGTGAATTCAAGGATATAACTGCAGGGATACCAACCACCCAGTTTGTCAATCATAAGTAACTCCTTCTGCGGCTTAAGGCGCTGTGACGGAAAGGACCAGTGTAGCAGGCTCGAAGCAATGACAGTGCGTCTATTCTTGCAGGCGACGATATGATAAACAAGGCGAACTGCCCAACCAAAAGGTGTTTCCCACAACAGCATGGCGGAGTCCCGAGTCGAACGGTGATCCAAGTGCATTCGGTACGGAGAGCTGGATATATAAACTTGGTGCACACCGTGTACTATCCCGCCTTCTGCGTCCATTCGTTTCTGCAACCAGATGTGTTTGTAATCAACTGCAGCGCAGAGGATGAGGTGCCCGAGATGCCCGAGAATAGCGAAATTTAACGCCGTTCGTTCCGAAGCTTCGCACACACGGCTTCCGGATGTGTGGTATGAGAGCATATGACTGCGCGTAAATCAATGAGACACCGAACAAAAGAAGTAGAAAAAGCCATACAACTACCCAGGAAGGGACGGGGACCCAGATCGAACGGGTGAACCAGGTTTATTGCATGGCGCTATACAAGAAAGTTTAATGCAATCCTGGCGCGCTCCATGCGCTACCCCGCCGTTCCGGTACCCCTTAGACGCTGTACAGGTGCGTTTCGAACTGTACTTGAGCTTCAAGGACAAGACTGCGGGGATACTAATTGCCAACCACCCAGTTTGTTAATTATAACTACTCCTTCTGCGGCTTGAGGCGCCGCGACGGAAAGAACTAGTGCACCAGGTTCGAAGCAATTACATTGCTTCTACACACGGCGGAGTCCCGACTCGAACGGTAATGCAAGTGCATTCATCCCGAACAGCTGCCTAGATAACCTTGATGCACACCGTGTGCTACCCCACCTTCTGCATCTTTTTATTTTTTCAACCAGGTGCCCTCGAAATCAACAAAGAATGGGGTGCCCGAGATCGCAGACTGCCGCTGCAAGTCAAGTCAAGTCGTCCGCAACGACGCCAAGGGCCCTCAGGAGACCTCAAATTTATCTCGCAACTCTATATACATTGCCTAGGTATGTGCCTACGTACTAATTGAGCCCAGGAAGGCCTCTGAGGTGTTCAACATGTGCCGCTGGTTGAACTGCCGTTGAGTGCCGCAGACATTGCCGCTGCATGCGGCAACGGCACTGCGGCGGCAAAATTTCTTTGCTCCCCACAGTAGAAATACACGTATGGCTGTGGGGTTTTGTGTGGGTCAATCGCGTAGATGGATTTGTACCATTCTTTGTTCGCTCCTTTGGTGCTCCTTCAGTCATCACAAAAATAAATGCTCTTCCGTCCACCTTGACTAGAATTTACTCCCAGATGAGGATTTCGATTGCGAGTCCGCGTCAGACTGATGGATCTGGATCAGCCGGCATAGTGTTGTATTTCGCACTACCCAGTGTGTGTTTACGTCTGACTTGAAAAACAGCTGGTCCGTTTCTTGCTCTGAGGAAGCACATCAGTGAGTGGTCCTTCCTACCATACAGCAAATGAAATTCAAGGAAGGACAGTGTGATTTGCATCAAGGAAAATGGTCCGAAACTCGAAAGCGATTCAATGCTGGGCGCCGAACATGTCAATATCCGACTTTACGGATCTTCTAATATTCCTGCCGAGGGCCGTCGAGGATTCTGCACCTCCATCGCGTATCAAACAGCCGGGCGGGTGGTTGTAAGAATTACTTGCTGACGGCAGAGAAGGTGAATCTTGGCGTAGTCTCGGACTCTTCTCCACATAAAAACCACACATGGATTCGTACAAAGCTGAACAATTTCAAAGGATTTAAGAGGGAAATATCACAATTCCATCGAGGTGTTGTTTCCGATACCGTGAACCTTGCCTGTGAATAACGGTATCGTGCGATCAAACTTGGACCGTGATAGGAGTGCTCCAGCCGCCCACATCCAAACTTGAGAATGTAGAAGTGAGAAACCCCTTGGCGTCCGTGTAATGAACTACCGCGAGTTGCTGTAAGGAAAAAAAGCAATCAGAATGAGAATCAAAATAAAACTTGAAATATACCACACGACTCGTGGAAACCACGTTAATGAACGCCGAAATGGGAGTACCCAAAGGCAAATTGGTAGCGATCGTCGTATCAACAATCCACCCAGGACTGCCGGTCAATCCGCTGTGATACGCCGAGACAATGTTTCCATTGGTGGTTTGGTAGAAGATGCGCTGGGCAACAGCTCCGAGGGAACTCTGAACCGTGGAGTAGCCATACCCCGCGATGTAGGTGGACGGCGCGACATTCGTCAGCCCGAACGCGCTCACGGCCGTAGCGTCGAGATTCACGGCCCAGGTGTTGAGCGGCGCAGTGTTGCCTGGGCCCCCGGCGGACCTGAGTTCAAGGATACTGCTGTTGGAATACATAAACGCGTAGATGCCATTGGCACCACCGTTCATGATGAGGGGATGCTGGGGCTGCAGGAGGTGTGAAACAGTAAGTAAAGGTCGAAATAAAGGATGTAAGGAGAGTGTCCAAGAAGTAAAATTGGGGAGGGGACTAACCACCAGCGGCGCCACGATCTGCGCGGTAGCGGTGGCGGCAAGGAGGCCGACGGAGAGGATCGTTGCGGGGAACATCGTGCTTGAGCTGAGGTCGCAGGCCCTTGCCCCAGGGTTTAAAGCTCCGTCGTGTATCACAAAAAGCGGTTGAGAAGACGACTTGGGTGTGTTCGCGACCCTGACCCTAGACTCGATACCAGTCGCTTCCATGTCGCGGGATGCCACTGGGACTCAAGAGCTTCTACTTGCAGCATAATAGAAACCATAACCATAGCGCCTCACAGGCGAAAGAAGGCTGAAATCAATTAATCTACATAGAAGTGTCCCTGACCTAGACTCCTGGGATTGATGACGATCGAGTCGGATCGACTGTCATCAGAACCTGCGGGGGGAAGGTGGGTGTGTCTGACTAAGTCTTCCACCGCCGAGTGGGGTTTCTACGATGGATTAACAACCTACCCGATTGCACCTGAATATTGAGTTCAACCAACTCTGGCAGTTGTGTCACAACAAGTTCTTGTTTCGTCAATGCAGACCATCAGCTAAATCTACATTTTCTGAATTCACAAGAACGTAGTTGGGCTGTTTGTCGTGACATTTGTCTCTCAGGGGCACAATCAATCCATTGATACTCGAAAACGCTCCAATGACCAACCTCACCAGTCTCGGTATCGACTCAATGGCCAGCTGTGCATCATTTAATTTTGAACAGTCACTTATACTTTACTAGAGGAACTTCGGAATTTCCAAGTATATCGTTATCCGGTACTTGGGAAGACCCCTCGAATTACTTCGTTGGGAAGGTTCAGGTACGATCTTTGCCCTGAAATGATCTCAATATCGAATATGATGAATCTATAATGGAAGGTGCGGCGGATGCGGAGGGTTACATTTTGTGGAAAAAAGATAAGATCTTAATCCAACGTGAGCTCAATTGCTCGCCGATGGAACTGGACATACCTGAAACTTAGGGTTATCCATAGACCCATAGTTGATCCACAGAACACTCCGCAACTTTTGGACGCAAGAGTAGGGAAGGTCGCTTCTACGGGCTGATTAGGAATGACTGCCCTGCTCTTGGCACTGGGGTTCATGTATTGTGCTGCTCGGCTTCTTGACATGTCTCGTTCCTATCTCTAACATAGGTGGCGATGAGAGCGGCGAGTTCAAATTTCGCGAACTTTAAAAGTCTAGCCACATGCAGATCGCAAATTGAGGGGTGTTCTTTCCTCTGTCAAAGCCCTTCCAGAACATCGTAGAGCTCCGCCTGGGCCGTTGATCACTTGGACTTCGGCGCAGACGAACTCTGCTTCGTCCAAGCTGGGATCATATTCGCATCTGGGGGATCGTGTATACTTACATCCCGCGAAATAACGCTCTATTCATATGGGAACTGTAATACATTTCGGACTCGGACTAGCGCAACTTGCACTCGTCTCAAATTGGAGGTCACGTGCTCCGGTTTAATTCACGTCCTTGACCATCCGGTGGACGATCCGGTGGGGTTAATCTAGATTGCGTTCTGCATTCAATTAAGAGAAATGCTGCTATGATAAAATACTGTATTTTTTCGTTCAAATCGACAGTCACGCGTCACGCGCCCCCATGTCGATGTCGAATATTCGTCGAGGTAACGCGTCACGAGGGCCCCCCGCCGAATTAGTCCAGCGGTTGGTCACGCAGGCCCAAAATCCCATAAAATAGCAGAAAAAAAGTTCTTGCCCTTGGGCTATCATTTTATAGCAAGGTTTCAACCATTCCTCAACCTTCTCCTGGGATTTTGCCTCTACAAGCCTAGAATTTCAACATCTGACTGGGTTCATGCCCTAAATCAGCCTGGACCGAGAAATTACCAGAAAGTACTAGTCAAGGTTTGAAATGAAACCAAATATCCTCCTGCTATCCAGGAAGTTCTTTCACTTGTCTTCTCCAAAATTTCCGGGTCATGTCGAATTTTTTGCCTTGTCACGCGGCTCAAAACCCGGTGTCGAACTGTCGAATTGGTTGAACATGTCACGCGTCACCCCCCCTGTCGATCTGAACGAAAAAAATACAGTATGCTCGAATACAAGTGTCTGTCTAAATATGCTCTACTGTCGTGAATCGGACTCTTCCTCCTCTTCACTCACTGCCTTCTCAACATGCCCGTCAGTTTTACCGTTGGCGCGCCCATTCTGATACCCGTTCTCGCCACCGCCATTCCCGCATCTCACAGCCTCCGCAACTTCACTCTCCGCCGCTGCCTCCGCCGCCCTCCTCAGCGCCGCCTCCTTCCTCCTCTTCTGCTTCAATTCCTCCATATCCCTCCTCTCCTTCTCCTGCGTCCCCATCAACGCCTTAATCCCCTCCAATGCCCCCTCCGGGTCGTTCTTGCTGCTCGGTAAATACCCATGCAGCTGTGCAATCGAATACCGCCCGGCGGGAATCGCCGCTGCGAACTCCTTCGCAAGGGTTGCGAGTTGCGGAGCCGAGAGCCGCGCTGTCTTCGTGGAAAGGGTCGAAGCGGTCGAACATTTATTCCAGCTGCTCGCAGGTAGCGAGGCCGCATTGGATCTGTGGAATTCGTCAGGTTTGTGTATCTTGCCGTTAATGACGAAACGTACCTTGAGATCCATGCGACCAGGTCGGATGAGCACTTCAAATAAATTCAGTTCCTCCTCACTCGCGACGGAATCCAACACGTTAAGCAGCCCGGCAAAGGTCACCTGCGACCGAGGGGGTATCGGCTCCTTGGGTATTAAGCTGCCCGTGCTATTCAGTAGCGGCTCGTCGTCGTCCTCCTCGCGGGAGGGGAACGCGCAGTCGATGTCCTTGGAATATGTGAGCTTCAATATTAATAACCCAAGGCGACTAGACGAGCCTCGATAAGGAGGATGCAGCGCGAGGGCGTGTCGCGGATGAGGCGGCCGAGTGTGTAGTCGTCGCTTCTATGAAGGCAACGGTATTAGTTGGGGACGCCGTGAGAGAGTGTGTTCAGCTTACCCAGGAGCAGCGAGTGAGATGAAGTAGATATTGAGTCCGAGCTCGCCAGCCAGAGCATGTATGGTCGAAGATTTCCCAGTACCCGGTTC